ATTTAACATAATCGGTTTCAGAAACTGCTTACGAGCCTGATAATCGTATATCCAGTTTCGTGGACAAAATGTAACGATTATTTTACGTACGCAGTTGACACACACAATAACCGGCGCAGCACTCGCATATAAGCGTTTCGTTTTGAACAAATGATTATTAAGATGAATATAGGTACGTAACACGATGTACGACTCGCACAACGAGAATAAAGAGTCCCTTCGGGATAGGTAATGGCTTACACGCAAGATGTGGATCATAAAAATTATGTGATGATGTGATGGACAATAATACTTAGGTACTTACATATTTTGTGACTATAAAATTGTACAAAAGTACTAATATTGACGATGTCGCGCGCATATTATAATACCTATAAACTGTTATATATTCGTAATCATAACATAACACAGTTAAACTAATGCTATAATACCTATAACCTGTTAATATTTTCGTAATCATAACCTAACACAAACGCAAAACTAACTTACGCTAAACGACACTACACCCACACTAAATGGGACAAACACCAATAGGACAACGAATGGGACGCGTCGCACCCGCAGACGGGTACGACCCGTTCCTGCTCACACCGCGTAGACACCGTACATCCGCGCTCCTGGACGGACGGACGGACGGACGGACGGTTCTCACCGCTCAGACCATCGACCGACACGAGCTGAGCAGTCAGAGACGGGGGTCCACACTCCCCCCTCTCGGACTGCGGTTAGATAGCTCAAAGAAAAACGCCTAAAAAGGCGACATGATGATTGGTAACAATATCAAATCATAAACCATTTCATCATCATCCTCACCTCATTGCCGTTCCCTTCTTTAATTAGCCCTGAGACAGGTGAAGCTGTAGGAGTCGCATAGACTAACAGCACTAACATCTAGATAATAGTAGTAGTAGTTACGCTATACTGTATTGTATACAGATGTATGTGGCGTTGCCAGGCGTCCGGATAAAGCCGGACACAGTCAGGCTTTTTGTTTGCGTGTCCGGCCAAATTAGACGGTGTCCGGGCCTGTCCGGCATTTGTCAGGCTTTTTATATTTGACCATTTTTTTTACATTTTTCATGTACTTAAATACATACTATTGCAATTATTGAAACTAATATTGTAATGAATATTGAATGATTAATAATAAATAACACTGATTCTTTTAATTTAAGATTTTATGGTAAATGATGTAAGCATTGTTTTACTTTAAAAAATATATTATCGTGTTATAATATGACTAAATAATTAAGGTTGTCCGACCTTTTTACCAAAATGTCCGGCTAAGCTGGATGGTCTGTTCGGCTTTTCGGTTTAAAGACCTGGCAACCCTAGATGTATGTATGATGTATGGCTGAACACGCTCGTCCCGTCGCCTTGTGTGCCTCTCGTCACGTAAAGGCTCGACACGAGAACACACCATGTAAACACTCGTTGTATCATTTGAAGTATGAACTCCATATGCCCGCTGAGATGGACCTAGATAAAACTGTTGCTGCGTTTTGCCTTTGAGCTATTATAATTTTTTACACATTTACTAAAAATAAAATTAATAACCCATTGCTAAGAAGGAGATGGTGCAGTGTTTCTATTTACCGTAACAGTACCATGTACGGTGAATAGAATAGTGTATAGCTTGCGGCTTGCGCCACAAAAGATGAACAGTGCGGTGCGGTATGAGGTACGTGGAAGCGAAACCATAGCAACGTCCGAATGGACGCAGGGAGACACTACGTGGGCCACGTAGTGTCTCCCTGCGTCCAGTCGCCCACGTACATACTTGTGTCGTCTTGCGTACTATCGATATTGAAAGTGTCGACTACCTGTTATACAATATTTAAAAAAAATTCAATAAACCTGGCACTTAAGACTTAAATATTGATATCGATATTAAGAGTATGAAATATTTTATAAGATTTGTAAAAATTTGCAGGATCTATGGAACAATGACTGTAATCATGTAAGGAAAAAGAGAGGTTCAACTAGTCCCGGAAAAAACACATGTTTCTTCATAAATTTGAGTAGGTACATATATATTTTAAATGAAATTAAGAAAAAACAATAACATCATTAATCACTGTATTTAATAAACTTTCTAACTGTGTATTACACTTCTTTATACATTATGAACAAAAAAAAAGTTATTAACATAACACATAATTTTTATGATCCACATAATACACATAAATTAACTTAATACAAAAAATATTTATTATTTATTTACACTAATTATATGTCTATTTATGTACACTAAATATTTATATACACTTTAAATGTTTATTCACTAAGAAAACTATACATGTTATAATATATTGAAAAAAACGCAAAAAGTTTTTAAGAACAATGTTAAATAACGCTCACCTCTAGGCCTGTCTCGTGGTATCTCGAAGAGCGTGTACAGCCGGCATAAAAGGTAGTGATAATTCTATGCTCTTTGGTTTTCCACAAAGAATTAGGCGGAATAACTCATACAGGAATGTAAATATTACTGATTTTTTATTTATTAATCGTAAAAATATTATAATGTATAGCTAAAATATAAATCAAATTAAAGATTTAAGTCGTACAATTTTTTAACCGTGTAGTGGCGGTGTGAGAATATCCAATATACCATAGCATCACATAAAACCTAACAAACCAGGGGATGGGTAGCAGGGTCTTCCTAATAACGATTAAAATTAAAAACTGCGGCTGCAAACTCGTTCGCCAAGGGTGGCAACACTGGCAAATATCCTCCTATGACGCTATCTATAGGAGACCTATGTTCATCTTCATACTTCTGAGAGGGTTTGTTTTTTGTAATGGGCAGAATTTATCGCATTACTAATAATCAATTTTTCACTACGGTTACAGATTTTTTTTATAAATCATCCTACTCATTTTATAAGAAACTTCCCCCTGTGAGGAAATATATGAAGGAGGCCTATGTTCAGCAGTAGACTTTTATAGGCTGTAATGGAAATTTAGTTTGTTTCGCTGCTTCTTCGCTTGGCTCCAAATCTTTACAATGGTAAACTGCTCAAATTAGTTTTTCCTTAAAAACATGTGGTAGACACAGATATTAACATCGGTTATGATGTAGATGAGGAGTTGTTTTATCCTACGAATTCGTTTAAAACGCACCCTCAGAGTTTTAGTGCATTACTTTATGACGCAAAAATTATCAATTCTTCTTCTGTACTTCATCATTAGCCCGTAAATGTCTACTGCAAGATATGGACCTCTTCCACTTCAGGAGTGATTTATTATAACTTTCACGGTTTGCAAACAAATTGACGATCGTAATACAATACATCTCGCATATTTGACGTTGCTGGCCAGTGTGGGTACAACGAGCCAGTCTGGGTACGAATAACCAGTCTGGGTATTTTATGTCTGGCTCTGACGTAACCGATTTGTATATAGCGCCATATATCGAAAGCCGTTACATTTTTCTGGCGTTTCCTATAGTTGCCTCTTACTACACCTCCAGCCGGACTAGCATGAGCGGGGGACAAAAATTTTATCCCCCGATTATATCCACTGACAAGAGATTAAATTATCTTATCCCTATGCCAGAGCACGGCAACAGGAGAAAGGAGAAGTATATCCCCGTTTGACATAACGAGTGGACATATAACCCCGTCCGTAGCATTGGACCAATGATGAAAGAGAAAAATTATGACATTTGAAAGTGACAATTTTAACCTAGTTTGTTGGACGTGGGTTTAAGTTTATTTTTTAACATAATAATACGAAAAAAGATGTCTCGAGCCTACTGGAGCATCATTTTCGCATCAGAATGTGAAAAACAAAACAGAAAATTAAATCGGCGATTGATACGTGATCAGAGTAATCCATTCGAATTCCCCGACAAGGAATTTATGCGCTTGTTTCGGATGCACAAACATTGTGCTATGTATTTGTGTGAAGAACTCGGCGAGGCTGTAAAACCTATTAATTCTGTGAATGGACTACCAGTACATATAAAAGTAAGCATCGATTACAACATATCTTATCGTTATCTTGTGCAAACATATCGTATATATACAATACTTTTGGCTAACTTTACTTAATATTTTTCTAGGTACTCACATCTATCAGAGTATTGATAGATGGTAGTTACCAGAGAGGTACGGGTCAAGACCATGGAATGGCTGTTGCTCAAACAACAGTCAGTAAATACCTGACCAAAGTTACTGGGGCTATTGTTAGAATGTAAGCGACAATGTACTTTAATTAGCTTCTTATGTAGGTAAATAGAATAGGTTTCAATGAGTAAACTTCTTGCATTTCATTTTTAGACTAATGCCTAAATGGATATCATTTCCGGGCGTAGGACAAACAAGGCAAAATGTGGCTAGAGGATTCCTAGCAAAACATGGTCTGCCAGATATTCTTGGGGCTATTGACTGCACCCATGTCGATATTTTTCCTCCACCATTCCCGAATGGGGTTCAGTACATGAACAGAAAAGGGCGATCTACAATAAATGTTCAACTGGTAAGGTACAAGTTCTAGTTTTTTTTAAATCATAACAGTATTAGTTATATTCAAGACTAATTTTTCCTAGGAAAAGGTAAGACAAAAGACTATTTTCATAACTTTTTTGTCCCAGTGATAGATCCTGCAACCTTTCAGATTGCAGTCCACCTTTGCGATACAGAGACTATGATTAAATGTTACAGGTTGTGGATGTTGAGTGCCGAATCATTAACAAAAATGCACGGTATCCATAGCGAGTCCACGATCAGTTCATATTTAATAACTTAAAGGTTAAATTAGAAATGAAACGTCTGTATGATAATAAAATCGGTCAATACTATCTTTTAGGTATAATGTTTTAAATTAAATTTTCAAACTTATAGTTCAAAATTTTAAATTAAGAAATATTTTAACTTTTAGCAAACCTTGTAAAATATCTAAAAGGCTAATCTGCAAAATATTAGGAATTAAAAAAACACAAGATACATAATCATAATTTTTTTATTGTTTGTATTTTTGTTCTTCATGTACAATTATTAAAATTTAAATTTTTGTGAAAATCTGAAAAGAGAATTACAAGCATGAATTGATACCTATATTATAAAATACAGCAATAAAAGAAACAAATATTTTACAGGGGACTCGGGCTATGCATTAGAGCCTTGGCTGATGACTCCAGATTTGGAAGCTGCACCAAATAGTTCTGCAGCAAAATACACACAATGGCATTGCCAAGTGAGAAACTGTGTGGAAAGGGCAAATGGGTACCTCAAAGGCACATTACGAAGCTTGGGAATTGACAGGGTACTCCACTACTGTCCGGAGAAAGCTTCTCAACTAATATATTGTTACGAGCTTGAGGTTCGTGACAATAAAAGTTGCCGATAAAATTACCTAAATTAACACTTTAATTTACTTTACACAAATTAAAACTTAAAACACTAGTAATTAAACACACTAATTCACTTAATTCCGCTCCGAAGCATCGCTTGTGTCGCCGAGTTCAACTCTGCCCCGATCGCATCTTGCAGCGCCTATTTATATAACTAGCAAAGAAGCGTCCCGAACATTCAAGTAAATGCGCGCCAGGCAACGAGTATTCGAGTGTAGATTTTCCAGAAACTTAGTTCTTCGGGTGGCGCTGTCGGTCGAGTGATTTGTGATGTCATTTTCTCAATGCTCCCCCTCGCTCTCGTTCCTGACACTATATGGCGCTAGTGTATCGTCGACTTGAGCGCGTAACACTGCCCCTCCTAAGACATGCTCGTCCCGAGCATTATCGGTCCATAATAACGCGCCAAGCGATCCACATGGACGATCTTAGGAGTCCCTCTTGCGCCTTTCTGTAACGGCTCCGCAATGTCAAGGGCTGTTCTATCCCGAGGTGCACCAACATTGTACAATTTCGGTGCTCCTCTACTACGTGTCTGAGGTCCCCGAACGGCCGCACAACTTGTACATGTACGATACCAATCCTCGACATCGTCACGATAATGGACCCAGTAGAACTGTTCTCGAACCTTCAGTAGAGTTCGTTTAACTCCCAGATGGACTCTTGAACGACCATTATGGCACAGCTGTAGAACATTCGGCACTTTAGCTTTAGGGACAACCATTTGCAAACGACAGCTGTCTCCTCGACCATTGTCCCATTTACGGCACAGGACTCCATCCTGAAGCAGCAAGCTGTCCCATTGGGCCCAATAGCTTTTTGTGGTTGAACTCATCGCTGAGACGTCCTTCCACTTAGGCTTGGTAGCACGGGCCTTCATCCATCCCAGAATCGGCTTGATGTCCGGATCTTCCTGCTGTGCATGTCGTAGGCTGTCCTTCCACCCGTTGCTGAGGTGGTCTGTTCTGAGCATCCTCACGGATACCACTTCCTTTCCTTGCCTACTACAATGGTTGCCATCTTCAGGACAAGGTCTTCTTGACAATGCATCTGTGTTGCCGTGAGATTTCCCGCTGCAGTGTCTGATAGTAAAGTCGTATTCCTGCTGCTGCTGGGCGGTGCTGTTAGCCGCACTTCCTTTCTGAGACCGTTCACCTTCCCTTCCTAGGGTGTGCTTCGGGCAGCTGGACCGAAGATGGCCACTTTCCCCACAGCCATAGCACCTAGGGCTATATCTTCTATTGTGGTCGCGAACTGTAACTGCTGCAACCTCCCTAGCGTGAGGTGAACGACGATCCTGTCGCCGCCAGGCAGTGCCGTTAGCTGCACTACCCTCCTGATATCGTTCACTTTCCCTTTTTTAGGGTTCGCTTAGGGCAGCTGGATCGAAGATGGCCCTTTTCCCCACAGCCATAGCACCTTGGGCTGTATCCTTTGTTGTGGTAGCGAACTGTAGCTGCTGCAACCTCCCCTGACGCGATGGGAACGAGGATCCTGCCGCACGGCTTCCACTTCCAGTGCATGGGCCAAGGCGTCCTTAAGCGTCTCGTGGTGCCCGAGCCTCACAGCAGCTCTGACTTCCAGGTCGCGGATGTCGTCGATGAATGTCTGCACCAGGTTCCCTTCAATGAGCGCAGGTACAGACCGGTATGCTTTTCGCACCAGCTTCTCCACTTCTAGAGCCCACTGCTGCAGGTTTTCGTTGATGCGCTGCACTTGATCTTTAAGCTGCGCACGAAAGACGTGTTCCAGGTGAGCGTCGCCATATCTCGCCTCCAATGCCTCAAGGAGTTGCTCATAAGTCACTTCCTCACCGAGAGCTTCCAGAACTGTTAAGGCCTGGTCACGCAGGCCTAGTGTGAGAGCAGTCATGGCCTGATTTTTATTCCAGCCGTTCGCCTTCATAACAGCCTCGAACTGGATTTTGTAGGCTGACCAGGAAGAAGTCCCGTCGAACGGTGGCACTTTGAACCCACGTAGCGAAGGTGTAGTAGCTACTACGGGAGCTGTAGTTCCATCACCCAGTTTGAGGTCGTCCAGCGTTTTCTTCACGTCAGCCACCACGTAATCAACCCGATTGTTCACTTGGTCGATTTGGGTTTTAGCTTCCTTGATTTGGGTTTCAGCTTCCGACAGGCGGTTGTCATGTTGAGCAATCTTATCCTTTACCTCCTTTATCTCTTTCCCAAAGGTAGCATGAAGGTCCTTAATGAGGAGCATTTGCTCTTCCGACTGACGGGCCTGTTCCTCCTGTCGGCGGGCCTGCTCCTCTTGTCCGCCCCGCAGCTGCTCTTTCAATCGGCGGGCCTGTTCCTCCTGTCCGCTCTGCAGCTGCTCTTTCAACTGACGGACCTGTTCCTCCTGACGGCGAGCCTGCTCCTGCAGCATCACCATCAGAGCACCTAAGTCAGGTGCTGCAGATGTAGGAGCTACCGACGGGCCTGCAGCCGGTGGCTGGCCCTCCGACGTCTGCGGCGTTGCACCACCAAATCTTCGTTGGTCCGTCTCCTGCTGGCGTTGACTTCGGATACGGACACCCTCCGTTTCCTCCTTAGGTAAAATCGGCATGATTTTATCCCACTTCTGACAACAATTGTTACGAGCTTGAGGTTCGTGACAATAAAAGTTGCCGATAAAATTATCTAAATTAACACTTTAATTTACTTTACACAAATTAAAACTTAAAACACTAGTAATTAAACACACTAATTCACTTAATTCCGCTCCAAAGCTTCGCTTGTGTCGCCGAGTTCAACTCTGCCCCGATCGCATCTTGCAGCGCCTATTTATATAATTAGCAAAGAAGCGTCCCGAACATTCAAGTAAATGCGCGCCAGGCAACGAGTATTCGAGTGTAGATTTTCCAGAAACTTAGTTCTTCGGGTGGCGCTGTCGGTCGAGTGATTTGTGATGTCATTTTCTCAATGCTCCCCTCGCTCTCGTTCCTGACACTAGATGGCGCTAGTGTATCGTCGACTTGAGCGCGTAACAATATGCTTGCGCAACACTATACAATATCATGCTACATTATAGGTATGATTTGTAAATATATTTACATTATAGATTACATTATACATATAATTATTATTGGAATGTTTGTTTACTTTTGATAAACTTTATAAATTTAATTTATATATTGCAGAATTCCAATGGAACAACCAACGGTCAACTCAGATGTAACAAGTGAACAAAGGAATCCTCTAACGACATCTGTGGATCAAACCAGGCTGTTGACAATTGCCTGGCAAAAAAGAGAAAGATTAATAAATACATACTTTAGCTAAAACTTATTTGTATGATTACCTTTTCATCCTTTCAAGTTTATTTCTATGACCTAGGTGGGCATTCTGTGCACGTAACAATTGGTTTTGTTCACACAGAAGGCTATTTTGCTTTTTGAGCCTTTCATCTATACTCTGAAAGATAAGGTCAAATTTATATAGATTAGCAAAACAATATTAATCAGGAAAGGAATAATAGCATTTTTTCAATTAGTAATGAAATAAAAAAAGAATTGTTACTTGTAAACATGCATTATTTTCTTGCTGGAGGCGATTAAAAACATCATGCGACCGTTCTTTTTTGTTTTGGGCTGTAGCATAGCGGGTGGAATGGGCTGAGTGGCGGGTGGAAGGAACTGGATGGCTGGTGGAAGGGGCTAGAAGGCTGTTGGAAGGGGCTGGTGAAATATCTTCTAGCTCGTCTGCGAAAGAGGAGGGTGCTGTAGTATGTTCAAACAATTTTGAATGGGTATCATGCTCCACCACCGACACTTCAATGATTTCCTGATATAAAATTAGAAACATAAGCTTGATAACATGCTTTCAAAGACAACAAAGCACAATTTTAGAACTAAATAAGAACACACATTTGCCTGACTTATTGAAAACTCTTCAGGCCCAATACCAGTGGAGGACTCATGCCCAATAATGTTTAAAACCTTTGTGCCCATTTCAGACACAGTCGGGACTGTTGCTACATTGCCCGTGGTGCTGCGTCCACGAGCTGCCGCCGCGTTCTCGATACGCGCACCCTTTTTTAAATCTTTCCAAGTCTGCAATTAAAAGAATATTCAAATACTAATTTAATTTAAACCTGAAAATGTAATATTTTACGGACTTACCTGCTTCCACTGTTCAACCGCTTTATCTGGCCCATACTCTTTTAGTATGTCCCTAAGAATTTGCCACTCGGATTCAGCCCTTTTAGCTCCTAAGGGCCCTGTGAACTCACCGGTGGCAAGATGGTTGTGAGTCGACATAAAGTCCACCAACACATTTAATTGCTTTTTGTTACTTCTGGTTCTGAATGAAAAAAAAGAATTGTGAAATAATTGGCGATAAATATAGACGAACAAGTAATAAAATAGTACCAATTATTTGTAAACAAAAAGATTTGTAGAGACAATTAGTTAAGTTTACTTTTCGTTTTCATAAAACAATAGTTATTTTAATACATTTAATGTGATAGTACTTACTTTTTTGGCGCTCATTTTAATATATCAACCTCTAGGTATTAATTTTATTTATATACCGAAAACGAAAACTTGTGACGAAAAGAAAAGACAACTAATAATTGTCTGTAATTTGCAAAACCACGAGCACAGATAAAAAATAATGACTTAGTTGATTAGAGTAAACATCACGGGGAGAGGATAAAATTTTTATCCCTCGTTCAGTTTTATCCACCCTGCGAGCATGGGCCTACTGTGGATATAATATTCACAGTAGATAAAATAGGAGATAAACGTATCCCCGCAATTATTGCCATTATAAGAAAATTACCGAATACATCAAAATTGATGTCTACTGTAAGTCACGAAGTCATTATTTTTTATCTTTGCTCGTGATTTGGCAGTGTGTGTTTTTCAAACAAATATAATAACAAATAGAATAATATTTTCTGTTCTTCAAACCAATTTACTTACCTTAAAATGAGTGTCAAAAAGTAAGCATGTATTATCACACAAAATGTTGTAAAGTAACTATTGTATTATGAAAGCGAAATGTAAACTTAACTAATTTTCTCTACAAGTCTTTTATCTTAACAAATAATCGATACTATTTAATGACCTGTTATTCTGTATTTATAGCCAATTATTTTTTGTTCGGATACAGTCAATACATATTTGACCTTATTTTTCCGAGTACAGACGAAAGGCCGAATGAGCATAATAATCTTTTGTGTAAGCACGATCAATTACTTCGTACACAGAATTCCCGCCTAAGTCATAGATATATAAACTCAAAAGGATGAAAAGGTAATCATACAAATAAATATTAGTTGAAGTATGTATTTATTAATCTTCTATTTTTGTTGAGTAATTGTCAACATCCGGGTTTGCTCCAAAGATGTGACGAGTTATCTATTGGTAGTTCCATTCCAATTTTGCAATTTACAAAATAAGTTAATGATTAGTAAACAAGTATTCCAATAGTAATTATGTTTGTGAGGATATACTCAAATATAATATACACATTATATACAAAAAACAACTTTGATGTTCTATGATATTGTAATGATGCATAAGCATAATATTTTAGTTGTTAATCTTTCTCTAGACTGTGGTGGAGTTACTATGTCAATGCCCAGGCTTCGGAATGTGCCTTTGAGATACCCATTTGTTCTTTCCACACAGTTTCTCACTTAGAAATGCCAGTTGGTAGGTATATTTTTCTGCAGAACTATTTGACAACTTTCAAATGTCATCAGCCAAAGTTCTGATGTTAAGCCCGAGCCCCTGTAAAATATTTGTTTCTGTTAATCTCATTAATGCCTTATTATAATATTGGTGTCAATTAATGGTTGCTTATTGTCATTTCAGATTTTCACAAAGAATAGTACCTACTAATAAAGATATGATGAAGCATGAAGAATGAAAATTTTATGATTTCAAATAAAACAAAGAATAAATAATTTAATGATCATGAGTCTTTTGTTATTTTTATTCCTAATATTATGTATATTATATATGCCTTTAAAATGTTTAACAAGCTTTGCTAAATAATTAACATATTTCTTAATTTAAAACTTTGTAACTTTACTAAGTTTGATAACTTTAATTTAAAACATTATACCTAAAATGTAGTATAGACTGATTTTAATATCATACAGACATTTCATTACTGATTTAACTTTGGAGTTGTTAAATATGACTTGATCATGGACTCGCCTTGGATATTGTTAATTTATGTCAATGATGTGGCACTCAACATCCACAACCTATCTTATTATATCACGGCAATTAAGACTCAATACCTCAATGGTTAAGGGGTGACTTGATGTTGACGATCTTTAACCGGGACAACAAATATCTCATGGGACCCTGTAAGACTATTGTGGCACATAAGCATTATGGTTATTTTTGGGGGAAAGGGGAATATAAGATGAAAATAATACTTCTATTCTTTATTAAGAAAAAACTTTATTATTAGGTTTTTAAAAAACTCTATAACTTGTTTGCTATTACCAGTTGAACAATTATTGTAGATCGCCCTTTTATTGTACTAAACCCCTGTCTAGAATGGTAGGTAAAATATATCGTATAGGTACTAAACCCCAGTCTGGGATGGTAGGTATAGATATGGTAAAATATATCAACATGGGTGCAGTCAATAGCCCTTAGAATATCTGGCAGACCATGCTCTGCTAGATATCCTCCAGCTACATTTTGCCTTGCTTGTTATACACCCGGAAACGATTTTTACTTCAGTATTAATCAAGAATAAAGTGAAAGAAGTACATGCGCTGAATCTTGTATTTACCTAAACAAGAGGCTAAAGTATATTGGTCCCCACATTCTAATGATGGCCCCAATAACTTAGGTCAAGTATTTGCTGATCATTTGTTGTTTGAACAACAGCCATTCCATGGCCTTGACTCGTACCTCTCTTGTAACTACCATCTGCTAAAAGACTGAAAGATATAAACTACCTACCTAGAAAAAAATATTATGATAAGTTAGCCACATGTATTGATTGCAAATATACGATGTTTTGCACAAGGTGGTTGTAATAGATGCTTACTTTAATATGCATTGGTCCATCCACAGCATTAATAGGCTTTAAAGCCTCATAGACTTCTTTACACAAATAAAAAACACAATCTTTGAGCATCCGAAACCGGCGTAGAAATTCGTTGTCGGGGAATTCCAATAGATTATGTATTCTGATCACGTATCGATCGCCGATGTAATTTTCTTTCTTGTTTTTCAATTTCTGGTACGAAAATGTAGTTGCAATAAGCTCGAGACGTCTTTTTTGCATTAAAATGGTTTGAAGATAAACTTAAACCCACGTCCACGAAAGAGGATAAAATTGTCCCTTTCAAATGTCAAAAAGGGATAATTTTTTCTCTTCCCCCCGACCCCATGCTACAGACGGGGAGATATATGTCTACTCGTTATGTCAAACGGGTATATACTATAGGGATATGATCATTTTGTCTCATGTCAGTGGATATAATCCAGGGATATAATTTTTGTCTCCTGGCCATGCTCGCAGGGTGGATAAAATTGAGCAACAATGGATAAAAATTTTATCCTCTCCCCGGGGATATATTGTCCCCCGCTCATGCTAGCCCGGCTGATGGTAAGTGGTTGCCGCGGCCCATACACTTCTACATCTGTCCTCGATTACAAATCAAAATGCAGATGCGTTGTCACCCGTGATGACTACGATGGAATGCCTTGTTTCCAGTAAAAAGGGTCTCCGATTCTCTACACTCATTATAAAAAACACAGCAGCGTTAAGCTACTATTTCACGTTGGTATTCTGTGAGAGCGTGGTCCTTCCCTGGTCAAGCCGACCCAATTTTTTGACACAAGAGATTTTCCTCCATCACTTTTCCACCATCGCGTTTGGTAGGCGGTTTGACTTTCGCATTCAAAAAGGCTGACATTTTTGACCATGCTTCTCGACGCCAGATTTAGTGTTTTGTTTATAAATTTTTACTGTTAGCGACGACAAAGTGAATTCGAACATTTAATCTTAATTGTTTCTTATCAGTGATTTAAAACTAAGTGTTAGCATTTAATCTTAATTGTTTCTTATCAGTAATTCAAAACTAAGTGTTAGCATTTAATCTCAATTGTTTCTTATTCGTAATATAAAGTTAAGTGTAAAGACTGATAGTGCTGATAACAAGAAAGTAAATTAATTGCTTCAATTCTTATCTTAAAATAACGTATATGAATCTATTTAATTATTTAAGTTTGATTAGAACATTAGAAGCAAAGTATGAGCTTATTATCTTAGTAAACTTTCTTTTATCATAACTTTAAGAGCTATTAACATATAAGTGATTTATATAATTCTTTTTCCTTTTAAAGTAATCTAAAATAAAAATTAATATGTCAATTAATTACTTATAATGTAATCTTTATTATAAGATAGATTTAAATTTCATAGAATATGAAAAGATATTGTATAGAATCTTAAGCATTATTATCGTGATAAGCGTTGTACATTCCTGCCTCTTGGCGGCGCTTCTTGTATGTTCAGCGAAAAAATACTATCCTACTCCGGAGCTAAACCGTGAGGAGACCGCGAACCTATTTTTATTTTTTACAAGCTTAAATTTTGAACTTATGTAAATGATTTATGTTTAAAATAGTAAAGTAAAGTTATATCTATTAATACTAAGAATATGTAAAAATATTGTAAGGTCTGTTTTACCACATATTTTAAAGAAATTTCTAAATTTCCCTTAGAAAAGGTCGTTCTGCGCTCCAATTGGTCGACGGGAATAGTTAGTGCCGTGTGCAAATTTAATTAATTATGATTGGTCACAGGTACCTTTAAAAAAAGGGGCGTTTTTTGTGGTAAAACATTCCCCAAATCCGGCAATGTAAGAAGAAGTACTCAGAAAAATAAACAAGAAGATATTTCAAGAAGTGTTATTTATTCACTCAACCAACTGCAACTGCATTGCTCTCCGAATTAATGTCCCGCCAGCAATAAAGTTTAACAGTCTCACACACGAGCACACATTCAACATTGGTCCTTCGAGAAGCCGGATCGGGTTTTAAGGAAAATTTGGAAGATGCCTTCGAATACAAGATCAAAATCAGTGCAGTCGAAGACTACGAGTGAAAGTAACGCCACTACGGGTACCAGTACGACGGATTGGAGCATGAATACGTCGAGTGACTCTACAAGCACGTCGACTACTAACGCGTCAGCATCAGACCGATCGACGCTTGTCAGATCATCGCCCAGCAGCATACACAGACAACCCGTACTACCTACCAAAAACATTGCC